TGATGAAGCTTTAGCTACAATGGTGGAGGAAGGGATGGAGGTGGGTTTAAACGGGGTCATCTGAATGAATCATCCACAGCCTGCGCACTAGGCAGAAGACAAGTTGCGGCTCGTAGGCCTTTTAAGATGAACTTGGATGCCGATTGATTTTCGTGGAGGTGTGGTTCAAAGCTGATTGGCTGTGTCCCAGGTGGATGTAGGAGAGCGATCAGTTTCTTCAGTTGAGCTTCCGCCTAGGCTCTATTTCTCACACTGAGACCCGATACTCTGATGCGATCTACCTGCTCACACTGTACGACTAAAAACCAAGTTGGACTCACCTCCGCAGTGAAATGGCGCTACTCGGACTTGTCTATTTGGAAGTAGAAGGGGAATATGAAGATTATTAGAGTGAAACGCGCTGCCTTGGTAATTTGTTCAATTTTGTGCTGAAAGCCCAAAAAATTTAATTCGACAACATATTTGGACAAAGACATGGCTGAGCAAAAATGACTACTACAGTCAATTTTAAAGAAAGAACTCCATTTCACTCATTGCATCCCTGCCATGCTTCTGTGTTTTCATCTGAGAGGAGGAAGAAGAAGAATCCTTGTTTGCAGAAAGTAACTTTTAAGTTTTGGGTCATTGAACTTTGTCTCAGAGAGTAAAACTACATGCTGTTCTGCCTCTTGATGAAATCATCCTGTTAGTTTAATGAACTATTTTACACATTCCCAAAAAAACGAAACAGATTTTCCTTTATTTTGCATAAAAGTAAGGTACCAAGATGTCAATATCACCTGCAGGTTACTGTGCATATACCTGACTCTCTCAGTAAGTACACTGTCAGGTTTATGTGACAGAAGACCCTTGGTTTAAACCACAGGGTGCTCCCTGCCCCGGGCCCCTGCAACAGGAGAGGATACAGCCATGACAAACAGCAATTATTACTTTTATTATCATCATTATCATTATTACAGTTTAAATATCTATTCCCCCCAATTAGGATGAAGTTACAGACTGCTATTGGGAATTCTGGGAAGGAAACCTGGACATTCCAGGATGAGCTGGAATGCTTTGCCTCATGGCGACTAATGCACGGTCCATAATCTCTGTGCTGCATGCGCTGCTGCAGAGCTTGGTCGCATTGTGCTGTAGCTGTGCCATCTCCGCTGCCCTTTCACAGCGGCCGATCGCTAACATGCCAACCCCGGACCGTTCCTGATTAATGAGGCCAGCAGCCTCGGCTGGGACCGCATCCCTGTGGAGCCGTACCATTGTTCCTCCTCTACGCCTACATATTTCACCCCATCTGTCAGTTGGCACCTTCTCACTCTTCCAAAGAGTACTCCAGCTTACCCAAACTCATTATTAAAGTCCAGTTTTAGAGACTTTAGGACCCTACATTCCTTGTTTGTAATTCTGTTGATATGGATATGAAATGTTGGAGGTGAAGGCGGTTCAGGGTGGGTGTGAAGAACCGACTTTAATGGATGTGGAGAAGAATAATTAAGGCGGCGCAGAGGAGGAAATGAATGATATAGAAAATATGGCATTTGTCATTGCCAAGGTCATCTGGGGAGGTCTCATCCCTGTAACGATGTAAACAAAGTTATAATTCAAAATAAGCTCTCCATACAGCTCCATCTCCCCGCTGCTGCTTTATTCAGCAGCTCCTCTCCTCTGCTCCTGTTCTTAGCGACAATAGATGACCTTTGACTCTATGGAGAATAAGATGGGTATTAACTCCAAAAAGAAATGATCCAAACTTTATTGATCCCAGCAAATCTACCTCCATCTCTGATTAGGAAGAGCTCATGTTGGTATTAGGCAGATTTACAGGGGATCAGGCTGCTTTAGACCCAAACCTAAAAGCTACGGGATTAAGAAAATGTTCAGTTGTTGTAGTGGAGCTGAAGCCATTTATGCTTCAGTGGCTTTAGGTCAGAGTACGGAGGGAAATTTGTTCCATTATTGTTACAGAGAACACGTTTGGTAAATGGAAACCAACAACAAAAAATGCAATCCAGAAACTTTGAAAAATAAATAAAACGGTTTTGGAAAATGACTGTTTTCTTAAATGTATGCTCTTCAAATTGCTTTTTTTGTGTTTGTTTTAGAAACCCAGTTCTCTTCTCTTTAAGTGCGATAGAAACTCATTTTTAGCCAATAAAATGTTGTTGCTAACGTCCAGCAGACCAATAAAAATGCATCTTGTTTTGGGGGTGGCGTCCCAAGCAGCATAATACAGGTTAAGGAACGAAATCCAGGTTAAAATTCTCCCACCTGACGAATAAGGCGTACGTTTGCATCGCAGCGAAGGGAAGATTCCTGATCTGGTTCCATTGCTGACTTGATTACATGTTACTAACATCAGGTTTTTTCTCCTTTCTGCTCCATTGCTTTCAACAGCTTTTAATGTTTGCATTTGTTTTTTTGTTTTTGTTGAATCAAAATGAATTTAATACAAATTTAACCTTAAAAATAATAATTATAGAAACTCAATTTTTTTAAAATATCTATTTTAAGAGCACTTCTTCTAAGAAATAAAGCAGAAACCAGACTGAATGGAAAGCTTTATGAGGATGTTTCTTCAGAATACTGGGTTGGTATCTGAGGACCTGCTGGTTCCATAAGACCAAATTAAATAAAACAAAACTTCTTTCCAATCTTCCTCTCTACGAATCTGAATTTAAATTTTTTTTTTGTTCAAAAAACACCTAAAGCTGTTTTAATAATAATAAAATGCATGATCAAGATGCATCTCATATTCAGCTCATTACAAAGTTGTGAGATTTACACTTTTATTTGTCAGAAGTTGCTTTGCTCTTCAGTATTAGCATCTAATAAAATTAAGATCAAAATAACTGTATTTTATTTGAACAAAATAGTTTTAATTTCATGAAAGATCATTGCATGTAGACAACAGATTCTGTCTGTGGCCACCAAAGGCTGTGAACCTTCCCCTCCCTGCAGAGGATTAAGGAATAAGAGGACAAAGCAACAGCTTAAACGGATATTTAAGAGCAAAAACATGAGCTGAATGAACTAAATGTGAACGTTTGCTATGAAGATGCAGCAGAAACATTCAGCTCAGATGGTCTGGAAGCTGCTCATCCAGGACGACTAATCTTTGTCTCAGTCGGCTCGTCCCACGCTGATTTAAGTAGCTTGTGGGAATAATCTAGTTAATACACTGGACTGCATTCATATAAGTACTGATGATATGGTTTTAGGAAGGCCAAAGGTTGGGATGTAAATGTATTGCTTTCCTGTAGTTCAGACAGGAAATCTGCTCTTAGACACTAAAACTAGCAACGTCTCCCTTGATGGACAATAAAATAGTTTTCTCTTATCTTCTGTTTCATAAATAATCCTCCTGCTGAGCAGTTGCTCGTCTTGCTGCAGTTTGAACGTCTATTTTTTGTGCAGCAGTTTATTCCATATATTCTCCGAGGTGTTGACTTCCTGAGCCCATTTCTGCTGGAGGTTTCTATCTGTTAAAAGGGAGTTTTTCCTCTCCACTGTCGCTGCAAGCATGCTTAGTGTGAGGGATTGCTGTAGGGTCAATGAGTCGATGCAATCAGCTGGTTTTCCTAAGATAGAAAACTTTGTATCAATGTGACTGTATGATCTGGTGAACTGGAAAGTGCCTTGAGATGACATGTGTTGTGAATTGGCGCTTTAGAAATAAGCTGAATTGAATTGTTTCCTGTCTGAAATGTGAGGACTCACCATCACTCCTGCTCAGAGTGAAGCCTGTTTTTCTGCTTTTATTTCTAACGTTCGCCTCCTGTTTTGCCTCCGCTCCATTTCAGCTCTACTCTTTGATTCTACAGATTCATATTTTTTGCATATTAGATGCTTTTTTTCAAACCCCTCTACACCCAACATGCATTCCTCACTGTTTTATTTTCCATACAGATCATGAAAACATGGATTATTTGTGGGGTATGGTTTCTCTCAGTAGTTTCCTCCATTTAAAAGTCTGTTTTTTTACTCCAAAGCTTCTCAGTCGATATCGTTGGTTCTTTAGATTAAAGTAGGAGACTAACTTGAATATCAGACATTTAGGCCAACAGAATCGCCCCATGATCCCAGATTAGCCACTTGTTTAAGAGTCTAACCAGATTAAAGGGATGCCTTTTTTTTCAGGAATTAGTGGATCAGGTCCTGTTCTCCTCTGACTGTCTGTTTCTCCATCTGCTTAATCCAGATCCCGTCCATGGGCCCCAAAACGTCAACGTGGTGGATGTCCGCGCCCGCCAGCTGACCGTCCAGTGGGAGACGTTTGGCTATGCCGTGACACGGTGCCACAGCTACAATCTGACGGTAAACCGTCCCAAGCATTAAACCTCATAATAGGCGTAGGTTTGCATAGGGACAATAGGGACCTGTCCCTATGTGATTCGATGTGCATAACATGATTATATTTTACACTACAGCATTGTTGCAGCAATCGCTTCTTTTCCTTATGCAGGCCAGTAAGTTATACGTCAGCCTGAACACCTAAATTCAGCCAATATTTTATCAACGGTCATCTGTCAATCAATTAAGGAATAAGAATAATTTCCTTTCCCTTTGAGTTCCGTCCCAGTGTTTTCAGGGATGGACGTCTGTGTCTTCAGCAGGCGTAGAGCTAACAGAACTGGCAGCGTTGCGAGGCAAGGGCTCAAATATGTACGGCTGGAAGCCTTCTACACTGTTTTATACAGTAGCAGTTTTATACAGTTTTTGTTTAAAAAAAAACATGCAAATTGAAATAGACAAACGGGTCCAACCCTTTGTAATTGGGGTAATTTGGCTTCTTTTTTTAGCCTGCAATGCCCGATACCTGTCTATGTCTCTGAAGGGGGGTCGTTAAAGGGAATTGTTGGTCTGGCCAAAGAAGCGAGGTCTTCTGCTCTCCTGTACAGGAGCTGGGATTACGATGGTAGTGGGAAAGGATCAACTCAATTGCTGCATTGTAGGGTTTTTATTTATCAGCAGGCTGAAAACTTGGCTGATAAACACAAACTACTTCCTGGAAGTCATGGATTTTACATCACAGCGATCCTCCACTTTGGTAGTTCTTGATTTAATAGATAAAAAGAAGTTTTAATTGGTCTGTTTGGTGATCTAAAAAAAAAAAGAAAATCAAGAATCACAATGCATGAATCAGGAAATGAGAGCGTTATGATGTACAGCAATTGGACATTGCTTGCGGCGTCCCCCAGGAGTCAGTATTGGAACCAATGCTATTTATTCTCTACAAAAAGCAATGTATGTGAGGTTTTACAGGTATTCAGGTTCATTTTGTTTGCTGAAGATAGGCATATTTTCTGTACAGGTGAGTGCATAGAGTAGTTCATGGATGATATCACACCAGAGATAATTAATAAGCTAAAAAACTGGTCTGAAAAAAAACAAACTGTCCTTGAAACCCAAAATAAATTCATGTTATTTGGAAACAACAATGGAAACAAAGATGTGAAAATTAAACTAGATACGGTAGAGCTGAAACAAGTAATTTACCTTAAAGTCTGAGGTGTGATTATTGACTGGATTCTTAGTAAAGTTACAACATTTTTTGAACTGTTAATCTTTACACATTCTGTTACTGTTCACTGACTTTCCCACAGCTGAGCTATTGTGTAGAAGTCAATGCTAACACCTACAGGACGTCAGTAAAACCACTATGAAAGCTGCAGAAAAGAGCCATCAGGGTAATCCATAAGGCTGGATACCATGAACACACTGATTTATTATTCATTCATTCCTGCTGCTTAAATCCTCTGAACTGGTAAAGTTTCAAAGCTCACAACTAATGTGTTAAGCTAAAAATGAAAAAAGTATACAAAATATTTCATTGTTTATGGTGCCTCCTTTCACTCTAACGGCTTTATTTAACTAAAAATAGAGCAAAGACAAAACATAAAACACAACAATTTTCAGAAAACTTTGTGAGCCATTGGAGTATAGATTTCTAAAGTCATATTACGAGAGTTTTCTACTTTAAAGTCATAGGGAGATCATATTTAAATGACAAATCATTATTGCCTGAACATGTATATAAATTTACTCTTTATCAGACAATATCGTCCCAAAATGTAGAAAATTTGTATCGTTAAACTGTGTTGTTTTTCCCGTTATCTTGTGCAGGCCAGTTAGTTACACAACAGCCTGAACACCTAAATTCGGCCAATCATATATCAACAGTAATCCGTCAATCAAATGATTTCGGTCATAGCATCTCGATTCATATGTTGCAGCTAATATACACAACGGGAGAATTCAGGAGAAACGGATAACCATTTCCCTACGACTTTAAACAATTACAAAAACTCAATGTCTTATTAGCATTTACTAGGTCTGAGTAAAGGATGTTATATTATAAGATTACTGACTGTTAACAGCGTCATACTGTTCGTATCATTTCTCTAAACTTTTTTTTTTTACTGTTTTATGTTTTGACTCTTTAATTCCCACCCAAAACGGTTTTTCTTTTAATTCAAACTAAGACATTTTTATTTATGGACTCTCTTGCAGCCCATTACCTAAAACTGAAACTAAAAGCTTTCTAAACCAGTTATTGTTCCACCGGGATTACTAATATTGTTCTTGTCTGCGTAAAACTGACTAAATGCTCGTTTTCTTTTGCAGGTTCAGTACCAGTACGTGTTCAACCAACAAGAGTTTGCAGCAGAGGAGTTGATCCAGACGTCGTCTCATTACACGCTGAGGGGACTCAGGCCCTTTGTCACAGTCAGGCTGCGCCTCGTTCTGGCCAACCCTGAGGGAAGCAAGGAGAGCGAGGAGATAGTCAAGCAGACAGAGGAGGATGGTGAGAAGCGCTTTCGACACGTGTTGCATCAAACTTCACAATGAGCTATTGATCCAAAATAGAAGCAGGTTAGTTGAGTCTGGAGGCAACGAGGTATATGATTGGGCTCTCCCCAGAGAAAGCCTGCAGCTCCCCAAAAAATGAGTCATTATAAACATCTCACAACAGCCACCGGCGGTTCGTTGAAAACAAACAGCTGAACCAGCCGCCTACCTGCTCCGAACGCAGACTCCTCCAACAGAAGGGACAGGATGAGAGATGTCGCTGTCTAAGCCTCGCTGTGTGACTGACAGACAGCCAGGTTCAGGAACTGTGGAGCTAAAAACATGAAAGCTAGAAGTGCTTGATATGTTATGGTAGAAGAAAACAGAAATGTCTCCAACAGCTTAGGCCTTTAACTGTAGTCTCAGCAACTTGTTTTTTTACTTCGTTTTAAGGAGCACAGCCAGGCATGGCAGGGTGGCTCAATTACAGTTTTGTCCAAGTTGTTATCTGAGGTATTCTGTGGAAAAAGATTTTGCTTGGTGCTGCTTAAAAGTGTATGGCAGCAAAGTTTGCAGCATTGCTGCCTTATAGCAAGACCTTCCTGGGTTTGATTTACAGCTTATTTCTATGTATCCATAGTTTCTCTCCCACAGTCTAAAAACATGACTGCTAGGATGGTTGTGTCTTTCTGTTGCCTTGGGATAGACATGCAACCTTTCCAGGTGGAACCCCGGCTTTCACCTATTGACTGCTGGAGATGGGCACCACTTGATAGAAATGTAATTTTGTCATGTTGAAACCAAACAAGTTAACCAAATTGTTTAACATTTAATGTGAAAAAAGACCTAGTTCTTGACATGGGTGACCCGGGTTCAAATCTGACCTGTGGTCTCTCCCACTCTCTCATACCCCCTTCCCTGTCAGCTTCTTGTCAAAAAAAACAACTAAATTCCTCAAAAAGAAAAAGACAATAATAAATTGTTCATAGTTGTGGTTTGTCTGTTTGCATTACTCCTCTCTGCCGTAAAGCTAATTGATCCATTGTTTCCATCTTTATCTCCACTGCCTGCATCCTCATGCATTCCATCCTGTCTTAATAAAAAACAGTGCCAGATTATTGAAAGCCATCATCTGAATAAATGTCCAGCGTTATTTCCCATCCTTTTTTCCTGCTTTTGATCTATTTTTTGCTTTCTGGATTTCCCTGCTCTGCCCTGCCCATGTCTAATATCCTTTTGGGTTTGGATCTCTTGACGTCAACCTGGCCTCTGCTCTGCCTCCAAACCACAGCCTTGTGCCTTTTTCTTGGATTTGCCTGTCTTAATCTGTCTCCCTGTGCTCGAATTTGTTTTTGTGCATGACTGAAAATTCAAACCTGTACCCTAACTGTGACCTGTTTTTGGTCCCACAACTTAACCAAGTTTCTGTTCCTCGATCAAACAGTTTTGTTTTCTTTTTACTGGAACTAAATTATTCCTGCATGAGTTCTTACTGGGGTTTATGGTTAAGGCTCTTTCTTTAAACCATGGAAACTCCTTCACAACCTGTCAAGTTCTCAGTCACACCATCTTGCTGCTGTACTGAAGGAGCCATAACTGTTCTTCCCTGCTTTTCTTTGGATTCAGGTACCTGACTCCTCAGCTCTTGGTTGGTTCCTGTCAAACTCCAAATTTTTATTCTAAATAGATTTCTTACAAGTTTCAAGTTGATTTTCTTCCCAAGAAAAAACACTTCAGTTAATCAAGGACAAACATTTTACCAGATAAACACTCAGAACAGGTCTCCCTTTCATGGCATGAAGGAGGCTGTGTGAACTTACTCTTATCTCTCATGACCCTCCCTTTACCCTTGTCTAAAGTTCAGAGGCATCTGCTTTCTGTCCCCCCTACCTTAAACATTACAACATAGAGGCTGGTGCAAGATTTCTCTTAAATTACTCATTTTCAGGCAGGCACACTCAAAACATTTTATTTCACAAATAGGCCAAAGAAAAATATGGTTCCACAGTGGGTTCTCCGGCTTCCTCCCACTGTCCAGAAACATGACTGTTAGGTTAATTGGCTTCTCCAAATTCTTCTTAGGTGTGAATGAGTGTCCTGTTTGTCTCTGTTTTGCCCTGTGATGGACTGGCAACCTCTTCAGGGTGTACCCCCTCCTTTCACCGGTAGATAGCTGGAGATAGGCATCATCATCTTGTGACCCCGGTAGGGATAAGCGTGATGGAAAATGAAAGGATAAATGAACTTGACTGAACTGACATTGGAGAAATATACCTCTACATTTAACCCATCCCCTTGTTGAGCAGTGGGCTGCCATCGTGGGGCACCCAGGAAGCAATCAGGGGTTAAGGGTCTTGCTCAGAGACCCAGAGTGGCAGTCTGGGGAGAGGGACCCAAACTCAGAACCTCAGGATTCCAAGCTTAACCACTGGGCTGCATGCTAACAAAGAACTGGTTAATGATAGGTGTTATCATCGCATTGAGGCTCTGATCTGATGTTAAGTTGTTGGTTTGTTGGTAAAGAATAAATAAGGCCTTCAGATTCCAGAGGCTTAGATTGTTTTTCTGTATAGATATCGAAGAGCATGCTTAAATGCCTCTGAATAACAAAAAGCAGATATTAAAAACTCTGATCTCCAATCTTTATTCCTTCATATTTTACTCCTACAGCAGAGAGAGATTAAAGCAATGACTGAGATTGTATAATCCTTTTATCATAGAAGTCCCAGTTCTGATCCCAGTATAATAAAAACCACTGGATTTATTTTTCAGTGCCAGTTTGACTCTGAAATGTTTTTATCAACTCCTGCTGCTGTGTTCTGATCAGAGCCAACTAATGGGTTTAAAGAAGGTCTAAAAAGCAGGATTGGCATCCTGTCCACTTCTCATACGTCTGACTTATCTTAGAAAACATGGAAACAGTAGAACCAGTATGTTGTGTAATCCCGTATTATAGTGTGAGATGTAATCCAGACCCCCTCTTCCTGTGTTCATATTTTCCTCAGAGGATTAAACTCTAATTCTTGTGACATGGTGAAAAACACAACAGGATTGATCAGGAAAACAAAATGTGGCTCTGATGAGCCGTCCAAAAATGTGCTCCCTTTAAATTAGCATTGAATGCTTTATCTTTATTTAGAAGGCTGTTAAAGGCAGTAGAACTGATGTTTACTTTTGTTGGTTAAACTAATGTGCATCACAGGGGGAAATAAGTTGTCCCTTTTATACTTTCTGAGCATAATTTCCAGTTACAAAGCTCTTTGTTCAGGAATGAGTCAGAAGGAGAAAACATCCAACATGTGAGCGCGACAATGCAAGCAGCAGACATTAGCTCTGATCATTATTACTGCACTAAAACATTTTTTTTTATGAACAACACTATGGAGAAACAGTTTATAAATAACAAAATAAACTAAAAAAAGTCGAAAAATGATTAACTGTATTTTCTGGTACTTGCAGTTTTTACCTCAAACCTTAAAGGGGAAGTCCGGTCAGCAAGAATTAATGTGTCATTATTGATATCTAAAACTAATATGTATGGAATGATTTAATGAATTTAGCATTAATCAGTAAACA